GCTTTGCACCCCTGATGATCCACCAGGACAAACTCAGCAGTGTGTGAGGAAGAGGAGGAGGAAGAGCCAGCAGCAGCTGACAGATGGAGAGAATAGACAGACTGTTCCCTGTTTGTGAAGAACTGCTAGAAAAGTTTAAAATCACTAATTGTCTGTCCTGAATCAGTCTTATTAGGTAATGTTCAAATAATTTTACCATTCCAGTGTTTTCAGTGTGGGAGAAAGTACTCAGGGCCTTCAAGTTACACACTATGAAAGGCAGCAACAAGTTTAATATTCAGAAACCTAAAGTATGTATCAGCAGCAGAATGGAGCTAAAAATAAATGTTTGTTTCAGTTCTATGAAGCTTTGAGTATTTTGGATTAGTAGCACTGCTGTGTTTGTTGCATCATATTACTGTAATTGTTTATAAGCTTTATATATTCTGAGGTAAGTTGATCTATAGTGTTACATCATATTCTATAAGGATGTTATGTGTTTGTATACTTTCTGCCCAGTTTGACCCATTTAGCAGAAGTCAGCCTGTTTAAGGCTCTGATATCTATTCTTTATGACTTAAAGCAGTTATGACATGGTGTGATTTTCTCACCCAATAAAGGAATATTCAATATTTTCTCTTCATTTTATCAGACACAGTTATCACAGCTTGTACATTTTATTTTTACACATATATGTAAGCATTGAGCCAAATGTAATAATGCCAACAAATTAAACGAACAATATTTGTCTGTTATATATGATACATCTATATATACACTGTCAAAAATATTTGTCTTTGAGTGAAGATTTAAGGTGATAGGAAATATAAATAAATGCAATTTGAATCTTTACTGAAGCTCAGTATTTGACACAGAGTTCAAGTTCACTGCTGTAATAACTAATAATGATTACTATAATATTGGCCATATTATATTTACATTACCAAAGTGAGATGACCTTAGTCTCATGAACAACATTAGCTAATTGTTATTTACTAACTAATCTTATATGACTGTTCAGTACAGAAATGAAGCCCAACAATCATGTTTTTACAGTCCTGTGGTCTCAGCCTCAGATACTCAACAAATCAAAGTGATGCCATGACAAAAATGAATGAACAAAAAAACATTTTTTGTCCTTCATTTCTGTCAAACAATGCTGTATGAAACGTTACTCATGGTTAGTATGGTTGTTAGGCAACCTGAGCAGCGCAACGAAGGCTAGACCGTCCCATTTCACAAGCCTCTCACCAGAGGTGGGACCAAGTCATTGTTTTGCAAGTCTCAAGTAAGTCTTAAGTCTTTATCCTCAAGTCACAAGTCAAGTCTCAAGTAATGTCAGGCAAGTCAGAGTCGAGTCTTAAGTCACTGGTGTAAAAGTCCGAGTAAAGTCACAAGTCTGAAATTTTGAATTTCAAGTCCTTTCGAGTCTTTAAAAAAAAAAAGAAAAAATAATGTTGCAGTTATGCTAAATGTAAATATTAGACCATGTAATTTTTAAATCTGTGTTTTTCTCAACACATGACGAAATAGTGAACGTAGAAAATATACACAAATTGTGAAATTGCACCTCTTTAAAATGCAGCTCAATTAAACCTAGCTCCAAGAATAATTTTCACCGACGGTTCTGAGATAAGCTGCATGTTATTCTTGGATGCGGTTGTAGGACCGGCTTTAAAATCGCATGACAAAAATATCATACACATTTAAAAAACTGCATCACCAACGTAGCCTGGACAACATTTGCTAGTTAGATGAAGTCAGCTATTTCATCGTAGCATATTTATATGCATATTTATAATTATACGCTTCTTGGAGTGAACGCATACACTCATGAAAGTTTAGTAACTTCCAGTCACTGCAACAAGCCCAGGTACAGTTTACCGACGGATGGGTACAGGACCTTGAAATGCACCGTGTAGAACGAAAGACCATCGTACGTATCATAAGTTTACCAGTCTCACAAATCGTCGTCATAAATACACATTCGTTAACCGTTTATTAATATAACCTTTGAGCTCAATGGTAATTAATTAGCAGTGGAAATAATTTCTGGTACGCGTTACAGAAATGTAGCAGTGACAATAATACTGTATGCTGTAATCGTACTGGGCAATTGGTGATACAAAAAACTGTTTTATCCTGTGAATAAAAGTATATGTTTTTGTCAATGTACCATAATAACAGAAGCGAAACACAATATTGTGTCAGGACAATTCACTATTTATGCACAATAAATAAAGGAGCATAGCGCGACAATTTCTGTTCAGCGCCAGACTTGCTTGTAACCTATATCACCAATTATGTTAAGAAAAATGACGCATTAACTACTACAGCAGACTGACCTTTGTGGAAATGCTTGGAGCAGACTAACCTGTGAGCTGGAGTGTTCTGGGACGTTATAATTGGTCTTTGAATGGCTGCAATCCAGGCCATCCGTCGCCTCTTTGTTACTTCGGAAACATGGCTCGAACAATTTCTCTTCAACGACGTAATCCGATAACAACCGATCTCTTTACCCGTCGGCTTCCCATGGCTGTCATGCGACCGGCTATTGCAGTTAATAATACAACAGCTTCTTGACATTTTTGTGTTTCTTTTTATCGCTGTGTAACTGATTTCAATTGAAAGCCTGCGTGCGCTAGTACTGCTTGCCACGAGTTCCCAGAATCCTTTGCGATTTTACCCCTGAATGACGTCACATTTTCAATCTCTATATAATATGCATGTTAAATTTTATATTTGGGGTGAAATATCAAGTCTTTTCAAGTAAACCGGTTCAAGTCCAATTCAAGTCCCAAGTCATTGGTGTAAAAGTCCAAGTCAAGTCACAAGTCTTAGAACATTTTTTCAAGTCAAGTCTAAAGTCATAAAATTAATGACTCGAGTCTGACTCGAGTCCAAGTCATGTGACTCGAGTCCACACCTCTGCCTCTCACTTCCGCACTTCCTGGTACACGCCGTAACTAGTACACGAACTGCGCTTACTCCAGAGCGTGAAGTCGCTGGATTGGGACACAGCCTTTGTGAAGAAACTGTAAGTTTGCTTTTTTCCTCCTTTAACAGTTTGACTCTTTGCTTCTGTGATGTCTGGACCAGATGTTCAGCTCTTAGTTCAGGATAAACTTTGATCACTGTTGTGTTTGAAGACAAATCCACATGATTATAAATTATTGATTGATTTGAATCAAACAGTTTTATTTTATTCTCGTGTTTGATTGATTACTTCATAAACAAACGGTGCCTTTTTATTTCTTGGAACGAAAACATTGTCTCACTATTAAATCACATACATCAGTGTCCAACTGTTTTCTGTCAGGCCTTTCAAAATAAAATGACATAAACGTTAGTTGTAATGTATTTGATTGCAATCGGGTTATAAATCATTGTGTTCCTGTTTGATTTGCATCAAAGAATCAGCCAACAAACTGGAGTAATAGCCTCTGAAAATCTGAAAGCAAAGACAAAGTTGCTCCACACTGATAGGCCCAGATGAGGCACATCCTCATTTTTCAGGTGTGAGTCAGACAGTCAGACAGTTGAAACCATATCAACAACAATCTTTATTTATAGAGCACATTTAAAAACCAGCGGTATACCAAAGTGCTTAACATAAGAGACAGAGAAGTAACACGAGTATTATAAGGCCTTAGCAAAGTATCAAATATACTCACAGGTCAATGCCACTAATACACAGGGGTAATATAAAATGCATATCAAATAAAAACATAATTAAAGCGAAAGCCATAAAAAAATATATATATAAGGAAAAATAGAGTAAGTCTAAGAGTCAGGTGCGAGCATTAACAAGCAGGAAAGGCGAGATTAAACAAATAGGTTTTTAACCGAGATTTAAAAGATTGGATGGAATCGGATGCCCGGATCACAATCGGAAGGTTATTCCACAACTCTGGTGCAGCCAGGGCAAACGCCCGGTCACCTCTAGACTTCAGCCGAGATCTAGGCTGCACCGAGAGTAACTGAGTAGATGATCTTAATGCTCTGGCAGGAACATACGATTTAAGGAGTTCATTAAGGTAGCTCGGTGCTGTGTTGTTGGTAATTTTTAAACGTAAGCAGCAGTATTTTAAATTGGATGCGGTATTTATGTCAAAACAACTTAGCTCTTATCATGTTCCTGAACCTCCTAAGCTGGCTCTCTGAGAGGGTGCTCAGGTTTTTTGAGAATACCAACACAGAGTGGAAAAATCCTCTCACTCCCTCTTCTCCCAGCTGGCTGGGTCACTTAAATACTCAGCACCAATCCATCTGTCAATCTCCTGCATCCTCCCCTCACTCGTAAACAAGACTTGAGATACTTAAATTCCTCCACTTGGGTAGTAACTCATTGGGTATTCCACCATTTTGGGTGCTGAATCTCATTTCCATTACAAATGAGAGGTGAAGGCCACCACCTGATGAAGCCAACAGAACCACACTAACTGTGAAAAGCAGAGATGACATTCTGAGACCACCCAAGCGGAAACCTTCTGCCACTTGGCTACACCTAGAAATTCTGTCTATAAAAATTAAGAAGAGAATCAGTGACATAGGGCAACACTGATGGAGTCAATCACCCACTGGGAAATAGTCTGACTTTTTGCCAGCAATGCGGCAAAAAGGCCACAAAACACATGTAGACTGGTTGGTGAAACTCACATACACCTAAGTATCCTTGAGAGAATAAAGAGCTGGTCCAGTGACTGGGACGAAAACTCCGTCTTTCCTCCTGTATCCACAGTCAACTGATACTCTCTTGTTCTTTCAGATGAAAATGCCCTCTCGTTTTTTACAGATAAATGATGGCGACGTCTGTTGCATCACAACTCCTGGAAATGCTGGAGAATCTGGGAGAGGAAGAGCTGAAACTTTTCCACTTTTACCTGCAGAATGAACCTGTAGATCGTTTCCCAACCATCAGAAAGAGTCGTTTGGAGAATGCAGACAGGATAAAAACAGTAGATGTGATGATACAGACTTTTTCAGATTATGCACTGGAGGTGGCAAGGTCGAGAATTATGATGATAAATGGTAAGTGAAAAAAAGACATGAAAACAACAAAATAAACACAGGTTTATTTTAATAAGCATGTTGAGAGTCAGGTTGTGTCAGTTTATGTTTTTAAATTTCTCACGTTTCTCCTGAATTAGAGGAAATGTCCTAAAGGTTTTTTTGTTTGTTTTTTGTTTAAGCCATGCAGGTTATTTCTAGTTTTATTTATTTTTCACCAATCCCAGTTACTCCCTTAATAAATAGCATGCCATTAATTTGTTAATTGTCCAGCCAAACTTTTAATACATTAAATAATAACATTTCTAAAAAGATTATCCTGTTATCCCTGTTTTACTTTCACCTCTCCAAAAACTGCATCAAGAAATTCACACTTTTGATTTCTGATATCTAAGAAATTCATCTTGCTTTTAATTTCATTTTCATAAACTGACTTTCTTAGAAAACATGCTATACCCAATGTTATGTTTTTACTTTGTCTACTTTTTATTATTGAGCTTAAATAAAGTTATAAAACAGTTAGTTACTACTGCAGTTCTCTGTGCTGTACATAGTTAGCAATTCAATTGAAATACCTTTTTTAGGTGTTGCCCACTGACTCAATATTTTTCTTTCTATTTTCTTTTTAAATTTAAAAATTAAGGAAGGGTGCTGAATAGTGGTCTCACTCAGGGCAGCAAAGTAACCCAGAAACGGTAAGTAAAGTTCAAAAATCCATTTTCTCTGTCACTCAATAAACTTCTCAGATGCAGACGTGGACAAAATCGTTGGTACCCTTCAGTCAAAGAAAGAAAAACTCATAATGGTCACAGAAATACCTTTAATCTGACAAAAGTAATAATAAATAAAAATTCTATAAATCTTAGCCAATGAAAGTCAGACATTGCTTTTCAACCATGCTTCAACTGAATTATTTTAAAAAATAAATGCATGAAACAGGAGGGCATACAAATCTCGACAGGTACAACACCTGTACGTGCTCACTTTCAGTTTCATTTGTTATAAAATGTGAAAATCCGCGTAGGCTACGTGAAAACGAAACCTATACATACTCAAGCTAGCTGACTCAAAAGCAGTCACAGAGACAGGGAGGAAGAAGAAGACAAAATTTAATCTTGGGTGGTGAAGCGTTTTTGAGCCTTAACATGTGGAAATACATAAAGACTCAGCAGGGATGAACCGTTTCTGAGCAGACACGATATTTGTGCACCGCCAATTTAAGTTTGCCGATGCAAAGATTTTTCACTAGAAGTGACCAGAAAGGACAGTATGAGTAAATCAAATGAGTAAATCAGAGGGACAGGGCAAGGTTGAGATGGTTTGGACATGTACAGAGGAGGAGGATAGTGGATCTACAGTGGCTTGCAAAAGTATTCGCCCCCCTTGAACTTTTCCACATTTTGTCATATTACAGCCACAAACATGAATCAATTTTATTGGAATTCCACGTGAAAGGCCAACACAAAGTGGTGCACACGTGAGAAGTGGAACGAAAATCATACATGATTCCAAACATTTTTTACAAATAAATAACTGCAAATTGGGGTGTGCGTAATTATTCAGCCCCCTTTGGTCTGAGTGCAGTCAGTTGCCCATAGGCATTGCCTGATGAGTGCTAATGACTAAATAGAGTGCACCTGTGTGTAATCTAATGTCAGTACAAATACAGCTGCTCTGTGACGGTCTCAGAGGTTGTCTAAGAGAATAATAGGAGCAACAACACCATGAAGTCCAAAGAACACACCAGACAGGTCAGGGATAAAGTTATTGAGAAATTTAAAGCAGGCTTAGGCTACAAAAAGATTTCCCAAGCCTTGAACGTCCCACGGAGTACTGTTCAGGTGATCATTCAGAAATGGAAGGAGTATGGCACAACTGTAAACCTACCAAGACAAGGCCGTCCACCTAAACTCACAGGCCAAACAAGGAGAGCGCTGATCAGAAATGTAGCCAAGAGGCCCATGGTGACTCTGGACGAGCTACAGAGATCTACAGCTGAGGTGGGGGAATCTGTCCATAGGACAACTATTAGTCGTGCACTGCACAAAGTTGGCCTTTATGGAAGAGTGGCAAGAAGAAAGCCATTGTTGACAGAAAACCATAAGAAGTCCCGTTTGCAGTTTGCCACAAGCCATGTGGGGGACACAGCAAACATGTGGAAGAAGGTGCTCTGGTCAGATGAGACCAAAATGGAACCTTTTGCACAAAATGCAAAACGCTATGTGTGGCGGAAAACTAACACTGCACATCGCTCTGAACACACCATCCCCACTGTCAAATATGGTGGTGGCAGCATCATGCTCTGGGGGTGCTTCTCTTCAGCAGGAACAGGGAAGCTGGTCAGAGTTGATGGGAAGATGGATGGAGCCAAATACAGGGCAATCTTGGAAGAAAACCTCTTGGAGTCTGCAAAAGACTTGAGACTGGGGTGGAGGTTCGCCTTCCAGCAGGACAACGACCCTAAACATAAAGCCAGGGCAACAATGGAATGGTTTAAAACAAAACATATCCATGTGTTAGAATGGCCCAGTCAAAGTCCAGATCTAAATCCAATCGAGAATCTGTGGCAAGATCTGAAAACTGCTGTTCACAAACACTGTCCATCTAATCTGACTGAGCTGGAGCTGTTTTGCAAAGAAGAATGGGCAAGGATTTCAGTCTCTGGATGTGCAAAGCTGGTAGAGACAGACCCTAAAGGACTGGCAGCTGTGACTGCAGCAAAAGGTGGTTCTACAAAGTATTGACTCAGGGGGCTGAATAATTACGCACACCCCACTTTTCAGTTATTTGAAAATTTGAAAGTTATTTGTAAAAAATGTTTGGAATTATGATAAATTCATTCCACTTCTCATGTGTACACCACTTTGTATTGATCTTTCACATGGAATTCCAATAAAACTGATTCATGTTTGTGGCTGTAATGTGACAAAAAGTTGGAAAGTTCAAGGGGGCCGAATACTTTTGCAAGCCACTGTACTGTACAACAGATGTTAAAGATCGAATTGACAGGCAGGAGGAAAACAGGAAGACCATAGAGAAGATTCATGGATGTAATGAGGGGCGACATGCAGAGGGTTGGTGTGATAGAAGAAGATGTTTCTGACAGGGGAAGATGGAGGCAGCCGATCTACTGTAGTGAGGGCAGCCAAAAGAATCAAAACATTTATGCAATCGAGATTCAGTTTTTCACACAACTAGATATATTGCTTCCCAAAGGCTGAAACTTGCAAAAGAACACCTCTGGGACATTATGTTTCAGTCGATCTGTTACCACCAGGTTGCGCCTCAAACTGTCCAGGAGCTCAGAGATCTGGTGACCTAGTCCACATGTGAGAGGAGAGCCCAGAGGACACCAGCCGTTGTATCATTAGGAGCATGATGTTGTTCGTGGATAAGAGCATACAAACTACTGAGTTCCATTTTGAGTCGCTGCAGTGAAACTTCAGTAAGTTCACTGGCGTGCTGCATTATTTTTTCACTTAAATTTTCTGCATATCTATGAAGTCAGCTCATCAAATGATGTGGCATCCTCTCGTTCTTAACACCTTGCCCAGCCCACATCAGTATAAATATGCAGCATGTTTTTTCCCCTTTCAGACCTGGTGTATTTTCAAATTGTTCCTATACTTTATTTGAGCAGTATATAACAAAGCTCTCATGTCTTTACAGATTCAACCCGAGTCCAGTCACAGATGGTAAAGCCTACCCCAGTGGTGAGGGGAAGACCAAGAAGGAAGCAAAGCAAAATGCAACAAAAAATGCTCTGGAAAGCCCGTCTAAGCTTGGTCATCGGGATTCAGTGGAATCTGTAAGATAATGTTCATTTTTGCTCGAGAGAAATGAAAACCCAACCTGGGGCAATTGTCTCTCTGATGCATTTCTTGTTATCTTGACAGAGAAACAATGCAGCTTCAGTTCAGATGGTTCTTAGCTTTACAGAGACAGATTTCAAAGGCCTTGTTAACCACTATTGTCAGAAAACCAAACGTTCCTATTCATATGTTGAAGTGAAGAAAGATGGCCCGTCTCACGTTCCTCAGTGAGTATACGCCAAACTCTGTCCTTTCAGTTGAATCTTCAGACACCAACACCGGACTGATGTTCAACAATATTAAACTGTCAATGTAATGATCTAAAACATTCCCATTTTTTCACAACACAGTTTTTTCTACAAATTAATAATTGACGACAAGGAATATCCTGTGGGTGAAGGGACTAGCATCAAGGAAGCCCAACAGAAAGCAGCAGAGTTAGCCTGCTCTGTTCTTCAGGAACAGCCAGACTGGGACATCAAGGTATTTTCATATATTTCATCTTAATTAAATGCTTCCCTTTGGAGGAAATATGCATAAAATAAAGGATTTTGCTGTGTGTTTTAGGTGTCCATCAGGCCAACAGCATCGGAAGATGGTGCTCCACCTGAATCATTAGCCTCATCAGTTACACAGTAAGCACTTACTGACACCAGCACTATATTATAACTATATAAAAAGAGCATAGCATGCTAACAATGCCCCTCTTCTTCTCCCTAAGGGAGTCCATTGAGTCCTCATCGCAGGGCCTGACTACAGATCAGGTTTGTCATTTCTCATAATATTTAGTAAAAACTATGATACTGAAAGATTAAACGACATTTATAAAAGCCTACTAAATTTAAAAAAAAAAAAAGCAATGCAACACTAGTGAGTATCATTAATCTTCTCTCATAAGTGGAAAGATGCGAAGTTGGTGTTATATTCAGAGTCAGGACTTTTCCACATTTAAAATCTATAAAATATCTTCACTTTATTCCCTAACAATGCTGTTGAAAATGAGAGCAATGAAAACAATACAAGGAACACATCAACCGAGTCAAGGTATGAAAAGCCTTTGGTGCAAGGCTTTAATATAAATGATGTACAATCATGTGCAAGACACTGCTTTTCACCTTCATGCCTAAACAACTTTGTATTTGCCTGCAGATTTTTATCAGACTTCAACTCTATAGAGCATCTCTTGCTGCAATACTAGGCCGGATTGTTAACTTTACTCCTGTTGTAGGTCTCATCATTGTTGCTGATGTGACCTACCACAGTTGTGTCATCTGCAAATTTGATGAATAGGTTGGATCTATGTGATGGTGCATCAGCAGAGTGAAGAGAAGGGGGCTCACCACACATCCTTAAGGAACCCCAGTGTTCAGTGTTTTAGTGCTGGAAGTGTTGCTGCCGACCCGTACTGTCTGCTGTCTTCCTGTCAGGAAACCCAGCAGCCAGTTACACAGCGAGGTGGTGATGCCCAGCAGATCCAGTTTGTGAATGAATTTATGGGGAATGGTCGTGTTGAATGCTGAACTGAAGTCTATGAACAGCATTGTAATGTATGAGTCTTTAGTGTCCAGATGTGTGAGGGCTGAGTGAAGGGCAGATGAAATTGCATCATCGGTCGAGCGGTTTGACCGGTATGCGAACTGGTATGGATCCAGGTTGGGGGAAAGAGAGGTCTTGATTTGATGCATGAGTAACCTTTCAAAGCACTTCATAATGATGGAGGTGAGTGCGACAGGATGGTAGTCGTTAAAGACAACTTCTTTGGTACAGGAATGATGGTGGAGGCTTTGAGGCAACCACAACCTGGCTCAGTGATGTATTAAAGACATCTGTGAGATCTGCAGCGCAGTCTCTCAGTGCTTGTCCAGGGATGTTACCAGGACCAGGGGCTTTGTGGGTATTGATCCCGCCAAGGGATCTCCTCATACTGTCTGGGGATAGTGTCACCACCCAGTTGTTGGAGGGGGGAGTCTTCTGTGCAGGGGTGTAGCTCTGTGCCTCAAAGTGAGCGAAGAATTGGTTTATTTTTGCCTAACTAGACCATGCTTGAGAGAAATGAAAAACCAACCTGGGGCAATTGTCTCTCTGATGTATTTCTTGGTATCTTGACAGAGAAACAAGGCAGCAGAAGCTTCAGTTCAGATAGTTCCTAGCTCTGAGGACACCAGCTTTACAGAGACAGATTTCAAAAGTCTTGTCAACCGCTATTGTCAGAAAACCAAACGTTCCCATTCATATGTTGAAGTGAAGAAAGATGGCCCGTCTCACGTTCCTCAGTGAGTATACGTCAAACTCTGTCATTTCAGTTGAATCTTCAGACACCAACACCGGACTGATGTTCAACAATATTAAACTGTCAATGTAATGATCTAAAACATTCCCATTTTTTCACAACACAGTTTTTTCTACAAATTAAAAATTGACGACAAGGAATATCCTGTGGGTGAAGGGACTAGCATCAAGGAAGCCCAACAGAAAGCAGCAGAGTTAGCCTGCTCTGTTCTTCAGGAACAGCCAGACTGGGACATCAAGGTATTTTCATATATTTCATCTTAATTAAATGCTTCCCTTTGGAGGAAATATGCATAAAATAAAGGATTTTGCTGTGTGTTTTAGGTGTCCATCAGGCCAACAGCATCGGAAGATGGTGCTCCACCTGAATCATTAGCCTCATCAGTTACACAGTAAGCACTTACTGACACCAGCACTATATTATAACTATATAAAAAGAGCATAGCATGCTAACAATGCCCCTCTTCTTCTCCCTAAGGGAGTCCATTGAGTCCTCATTGCAGGGCCTGACTACAGATCAGGTTTGTCATTTCTCATAATATTTAGTAAAAACTATGATACTGAAAGATTAAACGACATTTATAAAAGCCTACTAAATTTAAAAAAAAAAAAAAAGCAATGCGACACTAGTGAGTATCATTAATCTTCTCTCATAAGTGGAAAGATGCGAAGTTGGTGTTATATTCAGAGTAAGGACTTTTCCACATTTAAAATCTATAAAATATCTTCACTTTATTCCCTAACAATGCTGTTGAAAATGAGAGCAATGAAAACAATACAAGGAACACATCAACCGAGTCAAGGTATGAAAAGCCTTTGGTGCAAGGCTTTAATATAAATGATGTACAATCATGTGCAAGACACTGCTTTTCACCTTCATGCCTAATCAACTTTGTATTTGCCTGCAGATTTTTATCAGACTTCAACTCTATAGAGCATCTCTTGCTGCAATACTAGGCCGGATTGTTAACTTTACTCCTGTTGTAGGTCTCATCATTGTTGCTGATGTGACCTACCACAGTTGTGTCATCTGCAAATTTGATGAATAGGTTGGATCTATGTGATGGTGTGCAGTCATGCATCAGCAGAGTGAAGAGAAGGGGGCTCACCACACATCCTTAAGGAACCCCAGTGTTCAGTGTTCTAGTGCTGGAAGTGTTGCTGCCGACCCGTACTGTCTGCTGTCTTCCTGTCAGGAAACCCAGCAGCCAGTTACACAGCGAGGTGGTGATGCCCAGCAGATCCAGTTTGTGAATGAGTTTATGGGGAATGGTCGTGTTGAATGCTGAACTGAAGTCTATGAACAGCATTGTAATGTATGAGTCTTTAGTGTCCAGATGTGTGAGGGCTGAGTGAAGGGCAGATGAAATTGCATCATCGGTCGAGCGGTTTGACCAGTATGCGAACTGGTATGGATCCAGGTTGGGGGGAAGAGATGTCTTTATTTGAAGCATGACTAACCTTTCAAAGCACTTCATAGTGATGGAGGTTAGTGCGACCGGATGGTAGTCGTTAAAGACAACTTCTTTGGTACAGGAATGATGGTGGAGGCTTTGAGGTAGAGCTGGGCGATAGAACGATAACGATATGTATCGCGATATAACTTTTACTCGATAGAGAAATTAAGCTATCGCGATAGACCTCGCCGCTCTTGTCCTCTTAAAAAAAAAAAAAAAAAAAAAAAAAAAAAAAAAAAGGTCAGCCAATCCAAATAAAGTAGCGCAGAGCCGAACCAATCACAGCCGCAGTGTCACGTCGCGTCACTTGTTACGTACAGCACAAGTGCCAAGCCGCACGTGTGTTTGTTTGGGAAGCAGAAAGCGGGTAATGGAGCCAGCGCATAATGGAGGAAATGAGTGTGCCGACTAGAGAAATCAACCGAGCGTGACCGAAGAGAAAACAGATGATGGTTCCAATGCCGGAGAGATTGTCGAACGGAAGAGCCATAGAAGTTCCGTAGTTTGAAGGTATTTCGGCTATTTCAAGTCTGACAAAAAACAGAGTAGCGTGCACTGTAAATTGTGCCGAAAGCAAGTCTGGAAATACAATAAACTGGTGCATGCGTCACACTGTGCGCCACGTTATTGTTTCGGTGAAATGAATTTCTACAATACTGTTACTGTTAATTCTACTCTCTGCAGTGTTTAAATGCTTACACATACACACAGTTACTGTCTGTCCACACATACGACTCGGTTCTGCTTCTATGCCGCAGCTTTGTTTACTTTTTCCCACCGAGGCTTCTAGACTTCTGATTGGCCAACATTTCTGCACGGTTAGGAATCTAGCGCCACCTGCTGCTTTGGCATGTTCATAGCAGCGTTTTCCTTCATTTCTCCCTTTATGTGCGGACAGGATTATTTTTTAAAACGAAAACGGAAAATCTCCGTTTTCAAAAATACCCGTGTACGTGTGGACGTAGCCTCAGTGTCTGACTGGAAGCGCTAATTCATCATTCGGCTTTTGTCAGACTAAAGTAACTGTTACAACTGTTTGAAAAGCTAAGCTATACAACAAGGAGAGATTGAGAATTTCCTTTTAGTTCTCAGTTTATTTGATATTGACAAAAGTTAGTCAGTTTTGTCTGTTCTTCTGTAAAACAAACTAAGATTTATTTTTAGAATTAATACTTTGTTTCTAAGTGGAATTGACAATTTAGTCTGTTTCATTTGTTCTATTTTGAAACTTAAACGCTTTAGCGGCTGCCTTTTGTGTAGTTTGCAATATTTGCCTTTATTTATCTGAAAAAGTCTCATGTTCCTTAAGTACATCTACCCTGTTGAACTTATTATGGGAAATAAATATTTAAAAACAAGCTGCTGATTATTTCACATTTTACTTGTGAGCAACGGCACATTTAAATCTTACAAATATAGTTATTTGGCTTATATCGTGATAGATATCGTTATCGCCTGAAATGAAAAAAACATATCGTGATATGAAAAAATCTCATATCGCCCAGCTCTACTTTGAGGCAACCACAACCTGGCTCAGTGATGTATTAAAGATGTCTGTGAAGACATCTATGAGATCTGCAGCGCAGTCTCTCAGTGCTTGTCCAGGGATGTTACCAGGACCAGGGGCTTTGTGGGTATTGATCCCGCCAAGGGATCTCCTCATACTGTCTGGTGATAGTGTCACCACCCAGTTGTTGGAGGGGGGAGTCTTCTGTGCAGGGGCGGAGAGAGAGTCTTCTGCGCAGGGGTGTAGCTCTGTGCCTCAAAGTGAGCGAAGAATTGGTTTAGTTTTGCCTAACTAGAACATGCTTGAGAGAAATGAAAAACCAACCTGGGGCAATTGTCTCTCTGATGTATTTCTTGGTATCTTGACAGAGAAACAATGCAGCAGAAGCTTCAGATCAGACGGTTCCTAGCTCTGAGGACACCAGCTTTACAGAGACAGATTTCAAAAGTCTTGTCAACCGCTATTGTCAGAAAACCAAACGTTCCCATTCATATGTTGAAGTGAAGAAAGATGGCCCGTCTCACGTTCCTCAGTGAGTATACGTCAAACTCTGTCCTTTCAGTTGAATCTTCAGACACCAACACCGGACTGATGTTCAACAATATTAAACTGTCAATGTAATGATCTAAAACATTCCCATTTTTTCACAACACAGTTTTTTCTACAAATTAATAATTGACGACAAGGAATATCCTGTGGGTGAAGGGACTAGCATCAAGGAAGCCCAACAGAAAGCAGCAGAGTTAGCCTGCTCTGCTCTTCAGGAACAGCCAGACTGGGACAGCAAGGTATTTTCATATATTTCATCTTAATTAAATGCTTCCCTTTGGAGGAAATATGCATAAAATAAAGGATTTTGCTGTGTGTTTTAGGTGTCCATCAGGCCAACAGCATCGGAAGATGGTGCTCCACCTGAATCATTAGCCTCATCAGTTACACAGTAAGCACTTACTGACACCAGCACTATATTATAACTATATAAAAATCCTTGCAGCACTGTGTACAGTGCAGGCTATGAAGTAATTGTATCATCTTTTTCTAGGAACAACAGTGAATCATCTTCACAAAACACCAGATTTGGCCTGGCGTCAGAAGGCAGAGGTTCCCCGAAGAGTTTTCAGTGACTTTTACCAAAGAGGTAAATTACCATATTCATAACGTACTTAAATTTCGACAGGATGGTCATCAGCAGAGTAGTGCTAAAACTTAGATTAATTGGTTTACTCAGTCATAAAGGTCTTGTTTGATTGCTGAGTTGTCTGGACACAACATATGCATTTTTTAAAATATATTTATTATTTATCAGAGGTTTCACTGCACAAGACATTACACATACACCGTGTTTTTTCTTGTTTTTAAACAGAAGCAAATTATTAACTCATTGCTGTCTGAGAAACCAGAAGACCGACCTGATGCAAGTGCCGTGAAGGAAAAGCTTGAAGAGTGGACTCAGATATTCAGCACACACAAAGCATCTCGCCAGGAAAATCAAACTGTCTGATAGTCACAAGAGAAAAGTTTCAAAAGTCACAGAAGCCTTTACAAATCTGTCTTGTTGCATCTGCTTAATGAAATGATTTGATGTACTGTGTAATATTATGTTGGGTAACTGTTAATGTGCAAAGTTAATATATGGAAGAGGTCACATCATGAATCCCGGCTATTTCAGGGAAGTTTGTATTGGATTTGGAAATGAAATGTGAAATCATGATTTTAAAATCTAACTATTCAAATCAGTTTCCCGGTGTAGGTCGTCACTTTGTAACTGTTGTTAACCTGCTGCTGTCCTGAGGAGGAGGAACTGTGATGCTACGTGTACTTCTGATGGATTCATGTTGAATGTCAGAGATAAAAAAGCACACTCCATGTGGCTCAATTTTAGAAACTTTCCTAAATGTTTTCAATCATTTTTAACCCATGAAATACAGTTTAAAATATTTTTCTTCCATTTTTTTCTTTTGTTTATTTTAATCTGATTGATTGCAATATCAGTCAGCTACGTGTGACTTGGAACAGCAGGAGAAAGGTCATTAATACTGTACTAGAGGGTTGAAATAATAAAAAGGGTGTATAAGAAACTGAACTAGTAAATGTCTCTCATTTAGCTCTGATTTTTCTTGCAGAAGCACTTGGTATATAATAATTAGTGTTGGGCAAGTTACTTTGAAAAAGCACTTAATTATAGTTTCTAGTTCTTTTAAAAAGTAACCGAGTTAGTAACTGAGTTACAATATTCTAAAAGTAATTAATTACTTGAAAAGTAACTATTGCGTTACTTTAAAAAACGTTTAACCCTCTGGGGCCCAGGGTATAATTGGCCATTTTTAACTACTTTTGATTTTCCCTCCACATTTTACCTTTAAAAACTATTTACTTTGCCTTGTTTGGTATCATCCTTTCAGCACAACCTAACATGTCTGAATTTACGGTTATGTTTTCATTTTGACATACTGTATTAACTCAATTGATCTAAAATCAGACAAAAACATAAAATCAGAGTAGAAAAAGTTATATTTTTTACTGTAACAACCACAAACATGTTTAATGAATCATATTTCATAACTTTAAATGCAAATATAAATTGTCAATTTTAAAATCATATGCACAAGTTTTGCAAACAACAAAGTTGCATCCATTTAACTTTTACCTTGACTTTTTAAATAATCCTTTCAAACTATTTACAGAACAATCCGCTGTTCTGCATTCAATAAGATGCCACACAAATTATTTGTGCCACTCCAAAAAAGTACTTTCTGTCCACTATAAAGGAGAAAATCACAGCCTGATATCTGCAGGTCTGACAACAGCAGGTGTATCACTCCTGTTTCTACCAGGAGACAGCAGTGATAATAATTACCAAAGATTTTCGTTTTTGGTATTTAAATAATGAGCAGAGTGGCAGCAAGAATAAACTCAGTCATGCATTTTTGATAACTGGCAATGAGTCACATAACTGCAGAGGAATTTTGACCCATTCTTCAATGCAGTGTTATTTTAATTCAGACACATTGGAGGGTTTTCGACTATGAATGGCCTGTTTAAGATTGTACCACAGCATCTCAGTCGGATTTAAGTCTGGACTTTGACTGGACCACTCCAAAACTTACCTTTTGTTATTTTATGACCATTCAGAGGTGGACTTGCTGGTGTGCTTTGGATGACTGTCCCATTGCACAATCCAAATGTGCTTGAGCTTTGGGGCACGAAATGATGGCCAGACATTGTCCTTTAGGATTTACTGATTGTGATGGCCAAACCCATGGTCACACTCTAAAAGTCGGTAACTCTTATGTATTCTTTATTTTTTCATTTAAAATAACACACTTAAGTTTGCACTAAGATTATTGATTGGTTTAAATACCTTGGTTCTATTTGTAAGCGCGCACATTTATTTTACTTATGTATTCATAACATTCCATTACTTTTGTTTTATTTGTGACTGATCTATTTCTTTTACCTGTTTCTTACCTGCCATCATTCCTGGGAGCTGCCAGAAAAAAAGATTGTGGCCAGGGTTTAAAGCAGTTATATACAAAGAGGGGATGGTTGGACCACACCACCACTTCCTGCTGAAGGGGGAAGAATGTGTATTTTCTTTCATTTAAAAAAAAAAAGCTTTTGTATTTAACTAAATATTTGAGTTTAGGTTTAGTGGTTTTGATTTTCTTCTTTGGTGTTTAGTTTATTAACAGACTGGACTGTGCTCCATTGTTTTTGTTGTTTTCGATTGGTTTTTGTTTAGTTGTGTGTTGTGTCCAGTGTTGGGTAAGTTACTTTAAAATAGTAACTTAGTTACATTACTAGTTACTTCTCTCAAAAGTAACTCAGTTACTTCAAGTTACTCGTTACTTTCAAAGTAACTAGTTACTAGGGAAAGTAACTTTGGTTTTACTCAGAATTCTCTTGTTAATGTGTTGCTTCCATAACTTTGCCAGTCTTCTAGCTTGCTTACTTGCCACAAGTGCACTGTGCCACCGACCAATAGAAAGGAAAAGATAATGTGCATATTTCCACGAGAGAAATCCCACGCCTGGACCGTCATTGACTGCTGCCATGATTCTAGCCTACGTCACAGCGTCATGTGCGCCTTTTACATCCAACACAAAAACTGCAGTCGTGGTGCTTTCAATTGTACTCAGAACTTGGAAATTCTGCCTTCTGAATAGGAAGATGTTGGTAACACCAGACTGCAGATGAGCTGCATACAGAGCTGGACTGGGACAGAAAATTGGCCCGGACATTTTGACTAGAGACCGGCCCACCATTATAGGAAAAATCATAAAGCCTTTGAATGATAATAAACACTATTGTGACAGTGATGTACACTGTTTTGATGGTATATATGCATCAATCTATCAATCGTTTTGTTGTAAGATTCAGATAATTATTTTTTAAAAGCTAGATATTTTAAATGAGAATAACATAGAAATGTATTTCTTTGTGCCCACCTCTCCCTGTTAATGCCCTACCTGGCCCCCCTGGCAAAACTTTGCTAGATCCGCCCCTGCACAGTTACCAGCTGTCAGCTACCTAAAAAAGGATCCTGGTGTTATTTGTCTCTCAGAAACAGTTCATAACTTCCCTTCAACTCATTCATGTCACCTAAAGGGTAAACCTGTTTCTCCATCACCTGTTCAGCTCTGATGATTCAGTAAGGACATCTCCTGGTTTCATCTTCATGTTTCCCTCTCACCAGATAAACAAACCGATATCATGACCAGCAGCTTTTTTGCAGCTGTGGCTCCAGCAAACATCAGCTGATACTAGAAATTAATATTAAATTCTAACAACAGCTGATCAAGCTTAAACGTGCTGCTGTTGTTTAGCGCGACATCCGCTGGTTTCCTCTTTCGGCGCAAAGTGAGCGATAAACAAACAAGAGAGCCGATCAGCTGATCATTGATCAGTTTTCATGATTGAAATAGAAACAGGAGAGGGAGGGGGGAGAATGAGAGGAGAAGAGGCAGCTGTGCAGCAAAGACACAGAATAACTCCAGCTTTGTGTCTTTTCCATTGTAGCTGAATTACGGGACAAACTGTTCCTTTTCACCTCAATAAGAAACGCGTAATATTTTCTCTGAATACCAGACGGGACGGTTGGCAACTCTAACAACTTATGAACAAAATAAAGTTCAACAACATTAACTTCATAGCACCCACCCAGCTGTATAGAAACTCCGTCATGCTAGCTAGCACGCAGTACGGAAAAAGTCAGAATAACGAAAATACACTCCCTAGCAGATCATTACATGGAGAAACCTTTGGAATGCAAGCATGCTGATCCACACAGGTATGCACACAGGTGTACACATGGGTATTCACAGACGCGGACTACAGCTTTCTTAGCTGCTGCCTCAAAGCACACTGTGTGCTGTCTACCTTGCGTGCTGCACAATATCGTTTATTATTTAGTAACTATTGATATCTACTGCTAGCTAGTTTATTGTGATGGTGGGTTTTTTTTCTTATTATGTTGCTCTTTGTTGTTTGCTGTCTCCTCTGTTTTTTTTTTCTCCATACAGGTGACCCAGGAGTTTTGTTTTGTTTGTTTGTTTGTTTTTTTCTCTCTTCCCCCCCTTCTCACCGTCTCTTCTCCCCTTTGGTTTTCTTTCTTTCTCTCCCCCTCTTTCTTTCATTCTTTCTCCCTGTCCTATCCCACAGTCATGTCTGTCCCGTTTGTAGCAACTGAAAATAAAATAAATTCATAATTATAATAAAGGTCAATCAAATGGACCAATATGGCAAGGCCATGATGATCCACTTGGTAAAATAAATCCGCTTGGCATCTTTCTTGGCCTCAAGACAACAATTCTGATGGCTATAGATCCAAACGGGACAAAAAAAAAAAAAAGAATAACGAAAATAAACTCCACCTAAACTTGGTTTATATCTGACCCAGAGAGACTGGAGGTCATAACTTCTTACCTGAAGTTCAGTTCTCTTTTCCTTCTGCGTCCCCTTTCTCCAGCCCGAGAACGTGTTGCTTTCTCTCATCCACCTGCTGGCCTCCACCACTTGCTAATGTTACTGAATCTGTGGAAGCGCCGCGATAGCCACCACACGAAGTAACGAGTAACGACCCTATCTAAATCCCAGTAACGACTAACGTGTTCCTGATTTTGGCATAATAACTAGTTACCGTGCTCGTTACCACAATAATAACGTAGTTACTGTAACGCGTTACTTAATAACGCGTTAGTCCCAACACTGGTTGTGTCATAGTGGTCTGATCAGCCATTACCCTTGTATTTCATTTCTTGTTTTATGTCCGTATGTTTGTTTGGGCAGTCGTTGAGTTTAACTTCACAGTTCTTTGCCTGAGTTTAGTTTTGTTTCTTTGACCTCTTTTATGAGCTCAACATCTATTGTTTGTTAATATAATATTTCTGGTTAAATAAATGAAAACCCTCTTTTTCTTAGAATTCCCGTGACGACTCCTGCTTTTTCAACTCGGTCCATCGCACTGATATAGAGCAGAATTCACAAGTCATCCTGGAGCAGCAAAGCAGCCAGACCATCACACAACCACCACAATGTTTGACTAATGTTAAATTTGTTTGATCTTAAATATTTAGTTGTGACAAATATTCAAAACACGAGAAGTCAGGAAAAGGGCAGATACTTTTTAAAGCACTTTATATTTACTCTGGTCAGCAGACAGTAATGAGAGAAACCTTAAAGCCACTTATGGAATATCCTTTCCTTTACCACCCTGATAGCATGATGGCATCACAAACCTATCAATAAAACAGGAAAACTACTGCAGGAATTTCATTTAGCAAGCAGAAGCAAATAAGTAGGTTAATGTGATTCAAACCTGGCCTGCAGTCATTAAGATGAGCTCACAGAAACACCAAAGACCAAAACATAGTGTAATGTTCTTGGTTAGACTAGTAGAAGTGATCAGGAAGGAAGGACATGGATACATGTTTTATTTTAAACAGAAGAGCATAACAGTAACCAACTTTTTCCTTACTCATCAGGGATCATTTAAGGATTTGTACTGAGCTCTCTGCTGAGATCTTTCATGATGTTCATGATGCAGGTTTTCCAGTATTGGTGGA